GTTTTATACTTTTTTAATTTTTTCGTTTGTAAAAATACACAGAGTTGCACGATCTTCTAGATTACGCTCGAGACAAATAATGCTAGTAGAGGTGAATAATTTTTGTAGTAAGAGTCAGTAAAGATTGCAACATATACTATAAACATCGAGAAATTTAGGTAGGGATGCATCAATTCCAATTCCAATTCCAACCAATTCCAATTCTTAGAATTGGTTGGAATTGGTCGGAATTGGAATTGGAATTGTAGGAATTGGAATTGGTTCCACTTCCCTTCAATACGTATGGAATCCCAGGAATGGGTATGGATCTAGTCTGAAACTCAGTGGACTTCGCTTCAGGTAGCTATAATTCCGATGGAGTCCAAACAATTGTTATACAATTCGCCTGGAATTAGTTCAATTTGGACTGCTTTCCCTACAATTCGTATGCAATCCTAGAAATTAGTGTGGAATTGATTTCAAACTGGCTAGGCTTGTCTTCAGCCCGCTACAACTCTTATAGAATCCTAGAAATTTATATCAAACTGGTCTCAAACAGGCTAGGCTTGGCCTCAGCTGGCTACAATTCTGATCGAATCATACAAACTTCTATGGAATTGGCCTCAAACAGGCTAGGCTTGGCGCCAGACGGCTACAATTCTACTCGAATGATAGAAATTCCTATGGAATTGGTCTCAAACATGCTAGGCTTGGCATCGGATGGCTACAATTGTCGAATGATAGAAATTTCTATGGAATTGGTCTCAAACAGGCTAGGCTTGGCCTAAGCTGGCTATACGTTTTAGGGAATTCCAAGTCTAGGCAGTTGCACACCAATTGCATATAAATTCCTAGAACTCCGTACGAACTATAGCCAGCTGAAGGCAAGGGTAACCTGTTTGAGACCAGTTCCATAGAAATTTCTGGGATTCTCTAATAATTCTAGTTAACACAAGCCAAGTCTAGCCAGTTTCAGACCAATTCCGTACTAATTCCTGGGATTTCATACGAAGTTTAGGTAGCTCCAATCAATTGTAACCAATCCCAATTCCTGCAATTCCAATTCCAATTCTGACCAATTCCAATTCCGACCAATTCCAAGCCAAGAATTGGAATTGGAATTGATTGGAATTGGAATTGGTGCATCCCTAAGCTCTATCTTTCCATAATATTGACAATGAAAACTGAGAGATGGTGGATTTACGATGAAATCCCGCGGTGCCCTTTACATAAAATATTTTTCATGGGGTGAAAAATAATACGTAACAATAATATTTGGTAACTTTATCTGTGGGAAAAAAAGAGTGTCTGAATCATTTGCAGCTTATATAAATACGGCCATCGATTCGATGAATGTAGAAGCACCACATTATTTTCGTAATAGGGTTGTTTATAGATCAATCTATGTAAGAATAATGAAGCAGTTTTCAATAAAACTGCGAGAAAAATCGACAAAAATCGTTGTCTTTGGACATTTAATGTCAATATAATCTCACGATTTTGGAACAATAAATGTCGATAAAATCACTGATTTTTGCGCGATTATGATCTCATGAGAACAGAATTCATTATTGTGCTATTGTTTTTTTTCTAAAAAAATGTCGTGCACTTAACCACGGAAAAATAGAAAAATGCAGCGTAATATCTGTTTTGTCGCGCGTTTTCTCTATAAAATCTTGTCACTTTTAGCATAGAAGTCAAATTTTTCAAATAAACCTGAAACTGATTTTCTGCATTTAGATATCTGATCGTTATCAATTATCATATCGAAATCAATCGAGTAAGTCCATGTTGCTTCCTTTCATTAGTTTCAAGGAAGTATTGCTTGGATTTACAGAGAAATGCGGGATAAGTTAGCTTATGCTTCTCGATTCATGGCATCCTCTCATTTGCGAACAGAAAGTCGAATTCATATCTAATAGATATAGATCAAGTATCTGATGCAAAACATCATATTAAATAAATTGATGAATGTTTGCTGTTTTCAATTTTCTTTCTTCATATTTCTTCATATTTTTACTCAGGTAGATAGGATTCGTTGTGATTTCACCCCTTTATAAGTTAAAAGACAGCTCTTCTCCGGTACCAGTGACTTGTCTTTTCTGATGAGACTACGTTAGAGCATGAATTCTTTCTATACTATCTATTTCTTTTCTAGTTCATGTTTCTGGGTTCATGAACGGTTGATAACTACAGAAAAAGAAAGAAGTTAATAAATACCATTTGTAATAAATTGAGAGCATGCAACGCGATCCATAGAATTTATCCTTATTAACATTCATTATGAAATCGGCGGGGTGCAAAATGTCTGGCTACCTGAATAATCTCTGGAGCAACACCTTAAGTGTGTGCGTGTGTGACTGTTTCTTCTTTTTCGACACCCATTGATACCCACACCCACATCCACACCCACCCTTTACTGAAAAGATCCTTTGTTTAACGGAAAAATTAGGGATGTAATAGTACCGGTACAATAATATAAAATCCGGTCAATACCAATGTCATTCAATTCTGACAATTCGCTGCTGTATTGGTGCTGAAACATGCCTCATTTTAAGGTTCCGAAGAATTCTTAAAGATTTCTAAAGATTTCTAGAGATTTCTAGAGATTCCTAAAGATTTCTAGAGATTCATAAAGATTTCTAAAGATTTCTAAAGATTTCTAAAAATTTCCAAAGATTTCTAAAGATTTCCAAAGATTTCCAAAGATTTCAAGGGTTAAAATCTGCTTTTTCCCCCTTGGGTGTGGGTGTAGGTGTGAGTGTTGGTATTATTATCTTCTTCGCACCAACATCCATACCCCACACGCCCACACCCACGCCCACACCCACCCACACCCATGGTACGCATGTAAGTAATGCTTTGTCGTCAAACAACCTTTCTGGAATGAATGAATGTGTCCGATAGCGTTGACATTCAAGATTTTTCTTATTTTATAATGTCATCACTTCTATTCATTGTCCTTGGTTACTATAAACAGTAATAAAACAAAAAGAAAGATATCATGTTTTTGTGAAACACGATCTGAAAGGAGTGTTGAAGTGTATAGGGGTAGAAATTTGGACCCCCCCCCTCCCCCCACAGACCGTGACAGAGAACCTCCGAACGCATCACAGACCGTGACAGAGAACCTGTGGACCCATCACAGACCGTGACAGAGAACCTCCGAACCCATCACAGACCGTGACAGATTATCCAGGGTACCCATCACAGACCGTGACAGAGAATCCCGAGAACCCATCACAGACCGTGACAGAGAACCTCGGTACCCATCACAGACCGTGACAGAGAATCCTGAGAACCCATCATAGACCGTGACAGAGAACCCCGGTACCCATCACAGGCCGTGACAGAGAACCCCGGCACCCATCACAGACCGTGACAGAGAATCCCGAGGACCCATCACAGACCGTGACATAGAAGCCCGGTAC